CCCCCCCCCACTCTGATTATGTCCAGCATCTGTGCACCACTTTTCAAAGTTCTCCCTCGGTAATCTTTGGGAATAGTTGATGAAAGTAAAAATCACTCAAGATAGTAATATTGTGCTCCCAAGATTCATCTCGTTCAATCTTGATAACTACACTATCCTTTGTGGTCCATACAACAAAGTAGCAGAATTTGCGCTTTGTCAGGAACATCTGGCCTTGACACTGATGCCAGTAAACATGTGTGGTAGACAGCGTATAATTCCCTTCCTTCTCCTCCAAGTAAAAGTCTTTGTGCCCACAAGCTTCCTTGATTGTCGCATTTCGATGTGTGTAGGGGCACTTACACTCAATCACCGAGTCGTCTCCCACAAGTCCATCAGGGGAAGCACCCAGAACTCCCGACTCGTGTAGCCAAAGGCCGGTCTGTACAGGTGTAAAGTTTGTGATGTTGGTGAAGGATTTCAGGGCCTCAGTCTCATTGTCCTGTCCCCATGCAATTGCTTTAACTCCACTCAAGTTGTATTCCCCAAGTAGTCGCTTGATAAGAGACGGTGTAACTCTTTTTGCCTGGAGGACGGAGCCAAAATTACTGGCAGTCAGGCGGCCTCTACGAGCTTGGTGCCATGCAGGGCTGTTTCGCTGGCCAGCCGTGAGGGTGCTCACAACATTTATGGTTCTCTCCTCTACTTTGGCATTCTCAATCAAGTACTCTAATTGTTTTTCCTTCGTAGATGCCATAAGGAAACCTTCTGAGTAAATGATATCCTCAATCGTCTTGATCGGGAGAGGGGTAGCAGGTTGTGGTTCGGGACTCAAGATCCAGCAGGTCCCTGTAAATTTGCCATAGCGCTTTAGTTCGCTGTACAGCCACATCCGATCTTCTCGGCTAGGATCGCGCGCCAAAGGGCTGTAATCCTTCTTCTTCGGTGGCGCTGGAAACATCTGGCTTGCAGACTGTACGCTTTCTGCCTTTCGCTTTCGTTTCCATTGGCATTCCAGGTCCGTCCTGCTAAGGTTATGGATGCCATAAATAAATATGGCTGCCGCGTGACTGCACTTGAACTCGCCGCGAGGACACTCGCATTCTGTGTTTTTTATTTCAAGGTTTTCATCGAGATAAATGTCATAAAAAGATAATTCGAAACAGACGCGTAAGTTGCAATATATATTCCGCAATATAAACATTAAATTGGAGGTGACACCAAGAGACACCCTAGAGACACCGGGTAACAATGGTGAAAGGAACAAAGGCTGGTGGACGAGCATAAGGAGCTAATGAGATATCTATTGTTTACGTCCACCAACATGGCGGCAATGACGTAACGTGCAAACCACCATTAAGTTAATCTTTGAGAAAATCTGACTTTTTCACAAAACTCAATATCATAAAAGTGTCTTGCTGAGCAACAAAAACCCAGTGGCAACTGAAGTGGAATAAATATAATTCTTTCTAGATTTTGTCAATGGCGGCGTTACGTTTTTCCAGTAATAGATTCTGGTTGAGAAATAGATATTTCAGACCCTTAGGTAGTGTGAAGCTACAATTAATTTCTCTCGAATTCCTCTAGGTACATAAAAATGTGGTTAGCTCTGTCGTAGCCAGAAAGGTTGTTGTTGGATAAAATGACAATCATCAGGTTGGAATGTTCCGCGACAAAACGAAAGGAGAAACACAACACTCCAGGAAAGATTACGGATATCACAAAGTAAACAGCTCTAAGAGTTGTGAAACATGCGAAAGATTGTAATCACTATGCACGTTCACAAATGCTAATTAAAGTGCGAAGAAGAATTTTAGACGCCAAAAATTTGGTTTGAGCCTAGGTAGGCGTGCCCAGCACTTTCCACTGTATTGAGGTGGATGGGAATTCTAATTATGTACAGAACATGAGGAATTTTCAATCTAAAGACGTATAGAATTGGTGTATAATTTCGATTGCAAGTCTTGAACAATCACATCCCTATGGGACACACCTTTCCACACTTGCTTCACATCCAATTTACACGTTTGCTTTAGGTATATGTTGTAGCCGAGAGTGGAAATTTGATGCCATTGCAGTGACCTTTTTGCAAACACAAGTTGTAATAGTTCCCGCTTGAAAGAGTTAAATCAGGACATCCGAAGCGATTTTATTAATTTCCGTTCGGAGTCTTCACGTACAGGTTGGAAATGAAATACGTACTGTTTTTGTACACTGAAAGTGACAGCACCAAAGCTAGGCGACTTATGGATCATGTTCAAGGCTGGCTGCGAAGGATTGCAGATGTGAGAAATATCAAGAGCATCTTGGTGATGGAGCATGATTTCAAGGAAGAACTCTGCTCCAGCGAATGTGTCGTGTTGATTGGGACACCCCAAGCCTCGTCCCTCATTCGGAACAAGCAGCAACAAAAAGAAGACGATTTTATCATTTTTGACGGCAAAATTATTAATGAGGAGTTCTCAGATAACAAAGAACTTGTCAAGAACAGACTCGTCATCATTCACTTCACAGAAAAAAGCAAGAATGACTGGATCCCGCCAGATTTTGATGAAAATCGAATTTTTCATGTGGAAGATGGAATAGTTCCTCCCGATGGAAGTCCCACCTTAGCCCACCTTCAATATCGCTTGAAGAAAATATTGCTGGGAGATAGTTTCTGGTACTGATAAGCTCAAGGACCGTAGAAAGTACTGTAAAAGTTACTTTATACAAAGATGATAGAAAGAGCCACAAATGCTGATTGCGTTTGAATGACAGTTCCATTATGTTAGATCATACTAAGTAACGGTACTTGTTTGTGATAATAATTTTTCCCCATTCAATAGGCTTAGAACACTGCGATCGGTTACACCCTTAGCTTCACTGTGTACTTAAATTTGAGTGGATGGTGCGCAATAATAAAGACAAGACTTAATTCGTTAAAACAATTCAAGGTATCGTTGGTACGTAATTACTCAAACATTGTTTCAGAATCCTCAGATATCCACAGAAAGGGCTTCCTAACAGAGAGGAGTAGGGAAAAAACTAGTCAGTTTTCAGTGATTCTTCAATTTCTTTAACGATTGTTCAAGACAAGTTTTTCTTGGGCTAAGTTAGGAGTCAATCTTTATTTATCAGTCTGCACATTGTGCTATAAAAAATCCCAAGATATTAGTCTTCTTTGTAGAACTTTCGAAGGTAGAGGCACACATTTAGCCTTTGCTCTGAACTTTTCAAATCATACATGTTATTGTAAATATTGAATGACCATCCACATGGGTTCCTCCTTGTAACAGGATTCAAAAGCACGGTATTGGTGCTTAAGGTCGGCTATAAAGGATCACTGCAACTGAAATATTGATGTTATCATGAACCTCGCTTTCAGGGTTTCTCCTCCTCCAAGCCGACATTAGAACGAGGCTGATCATGGCCAATCTTGTATAACTTGTGCCCAGACCTCGCAAGACCAATCAATAGTCGCCATCAAGGCGAGACACACAACTGGGAGTAAAAGCCAATAGCACAGGAGCTATGGCATCAAATATTTTGTTATCCACGATGTAAATGACAGCCATGAAGAAATCACTCTAACTTCTAAACTGGCTCACGCAACTGCCTTCAGAATGGAGTTAATAGAGCAAACAAAGAAAAGTGGAATAAATGTACCCCCCCCCTTAAAAAATTAATGAAAAAAAGAAAAAGGGGAAAGAGAAATAAAAAAAAAATCGACACACGAGAACTATGCTCTCTCGTTAAGTTTCTTTTCTAGAACAATAACAATACAATTGTTTTTCAAGTACCGTGGAATGTCATCAATCGCCGGTGGGTTCCGTTTTGTAGCCGCAGCTCCAAAACCTCGGTCAAAGAAGATTAGAGAAGTTAGAAAGTTCAAGCGCAAAGCTCTTGTCTTGATGCATGCAAACATGAACAGCCAGGATTCATTGTTATGTTTAACCCCAGGGGCCGTTGTTTATTGTTAAAACCTCTGCTTACAGATCGAATATATGGTTTGACTATAGAAGTCGACTTCAGTCTTAGCGGCACCCCAGTTAACTTTTGAACTCAATTAACCCGAACATACAGTTTACTTTAGAATTAGAAAACACCAACGGACAAGGCTTGCCTTTTTTAGACACCATAACAAGTAGACGCTGCACAACAATTCATGTGGATGTTTACAGAAAACCGACACATACCGACCGTTATCTCAATTTTTTTTCCTATCATCCTTTGTGCCATAAAAGATCCGTTGTGAACACCTTACTGAAAAGAGCAAACAACATTCCATCTACCAATAAAGGTAGACGGGAAGAAATACAACGAGTAAAGGCCGTTCTGCGAGATAACAATTATCCAATGCCTTTTTGTACGGAACTGTGAGAGAGTTATTTAAACAACCCGCCCAGACCAACTTCAATGGCTTTGTAGTGCTGCCGTATGTACAGGGTGTTTCCGAGAAAATAAGTCGCATATTGAAACAACAAAAGGTCGAAGTAGCCTACAAACCACAACAAACCAATCAACAGCCTTTTTGCACGCCCCAAGGAGCGAGACGAACCTGACCGCGAGAAGTCAGGCATGGTGTACAAAATCAATTTCACACAATGTAATTTTAAGTACTATGGCCAAACAGAAAGGTAATTAAAGACCAGACTTGCGGAGCACAAAAAGGCAGTTGCAGGTTTTGACTTAAACTCCAAAGTCGTAAGCCATGTCCACCTTTTCGACCATAACATGGACTTTACAAACGTCAGGGTCGTTGGTTTCGAATCTAATTACCACGAGAGACTTTTCCTTGAATGTTGGCACCCTACTTTGGATCCGAATGCTGGGAACGATCACATCGTACTTCCAGAAGCCTATAAAGACCTCGCGCGAGCATCAAATACATAGTTACGCGCGCAAGCTTCGCGTCACGTTTTTAACTTTAAATAGCGTATGATAACGATCTTCGTTTTTCATATCACTGATGAAGGCTTAAGCATTAGCCGAAACGTCTGTTTCAGAAATAACAACAGTCAGAGGCAACCAATTTCCATAAAACTCATGACATCTCCTGACTACACTTTTTCCATTTTTAAACATCGTTTACTTATTTTGTGGATCAATAGTCGAGTATTAGGGATTTTCTGTTGTGGGGCTGTCAACGTACTTTTGAGCAGTACTATATTTGATACTGTGATCTTTTGTTTCCTGTAGGAAGCTCTGCAGCATCCTGTGGCCAGAATGTTGATAAAAACCGGCAAAATGGAACAGTTTTGGCCATTGGTTTCTCAGGTAAACATACCACATTTATGGGACATTTTAAAAATCATTCTATACACACCTTTGTCATAAAATCTTAGAAACCACTTGCTCCCTGAATTGCCAATTATGGTGGACATCTAAAAAGATGGCACAATTCTGAGTTAATCTTATGTTCCTTCCAGTCTTCATGCAGCATGATATGTCATCGTCATGCTTTTCCTGTCCTACGCTCTGCTTTATGGCTCTACCAAACTGGACCCCACCCAATACAGGGGTGCTGCTGATTCACTTCAAGGATTTTGTGAAGTTGCCACCCTTCTTAGTGTTGTATTCTACATCTATGAAGAAATTAATCAAATGAGGAAGTAATGTGGATATATCAACAAAGTTGAAATGGTAAATTGGCCACCGTAACGATTACAAAAGCTGACGTTTCGAGCGTTAGCCCTTCGTCGGAGCGAATTGCGGAATTGTGGGTTGTGTGTGCTTTTAAAGGCAGAAAATGGAGCTACGTTATTGGTGGGAACATGGCAACGAGAAAGTAAGTTGCTTTTTTACATTATTGTTTCGTCGCAATGAAATCAGTGTCCCTGTCTGAAAGCAAGTTTGTGATGCAGGAAAGTTATGTGAGAATCTTGTGAGCATTATAGATATGTTATGATCCAGTGAATTGAAGACACTGCCAATCTCTGATACACTCTTTTTTATCTTTATCTTTAACAGAGAGCGGCACTCATACTTCAAAGAGTGGATGAACCTGTTTGACTGGCTAGGCTTGGTGTTGATCTTGTGTATAATACCTTTACGGTACACTGACAACAAAGCACAGTGGAGAGTGGCATCTTTAGCGTTCCTGTTCAACTTCCTGAGAACTTTTAAGTTTTCTTTTGTAACAAGGTAAGAAACTCACTTTGTTTCTCTGTATTCGCTCAGTTGATTTACGCAAACTTGAGCTGAGTGTCCAAAGTGATCCAAAATTGCATTGGTTTTGCTGTTTTCTCTCCGTGACTGGTCACAAAAAAATCGAACGACGTTCTCCACCAATCAAATGCAAGTTTAAAACCAAGTGCGACATGATACCTTGCGTTTTCCCACGCTTATTAGGTTCAGTCCCTAAACACGTATTCACTCTAAATTCCTATTGGCTCCTTCCGAAATCTTCCTTTGTTCCGATTGGTCGCTGTGTTAACTTTGGTTTTTGTTTCACAACAATCATTCGTAATTTACTTCTGCCGACAAATTTGTCAAAATGCACCTTTAATGTAGCATAGTCGTTTGATCCAACCGATCTTCTATCTTTTCCAGGACCGCAGGGCTGCCTGTACACAAAGACCTTGGCCAAGATCATTCAGAAAGACATAACGAGATTTATAGCAGTTTTTGCTGTTGTGTTTCTATCTTTCTGTGGAGCCTTGCTTTTGTCTCTCCAGTCTTCTAAGAAAAATCAGCAGTTCAGGTGTGTGTTCATTGTATGCCTTCGTGTCTCTTATAATGAAACATAAACTGAATTTTTTTCTTCCATTTTACAGTGGTTTTGCCGGAAGAGGACTTGTTGAGCGGATTTCGTGCTCTTTCCGAACAACAACCGACTGCGGAAGATTCCTCAACTTTCAAGTAACTTCTAACTTCTCCCAATAACTGATGAAGAGGTTTCATCTCAATATTCCATGCTGAGTCCTTTATTGCCATATATGAAATTGCTTACAATACGGTGAAGAAAACTTGAAAATATTAGTTTGATAGAACACAAAAAACACATCAAAATGGAAAGAAAAATTGTGAAGCGAACGTGGAGGGCTGAGGGTGGAAAAGATTAAAACGGATTGAAAATAACCACAAAATGTTTGCTCACGCGTTTGTTTGTTTGTTTGTTTTTTCATTACTGTCATCAAACTCTGCGATTTTGTTTCTTTTGCAGCTGGCTCAGTATCGATTCTGTTGATGTTATCGTACATGGGGACTGTGACAGTGATTCTGCTCAACTTTCTCATTGCACAGATGAGCACGACCTACACTCAAGCCAAGAAAGTCGCCCGCCTAGAATATGATGTGGATCGATTTTCACTGCACACCCGTATGGAGAGATTTCATTTTCTGGTATGTAGATGGAAATGCGAAGAAATTTATTGAGGCACCTCGCGCTCTCAAGTTTTAAGTACGAGAACGGACAAGAAATTTCAGACGAGTTGAGGTAGCGGTACTGCGCTATTGGTATTTCATCTAAATGACTTTTCTCTCTGCAGAATCTACGCGTGAAGTATTAAAAAGAAGGAGACTGGATCAGTGAAATGAAACTTGCAAAAGGTTTGGACTAAGGGCGATTTTAATTTAAACCCCGAGAGTATGACGAGTTTGCTTTGGTTTTTCTTATGCTCGCTCCTTTGTTGGTTAAAAAAAAAGATATATATATATATATATATATTGGGCCATCTTCTCATTCACAAACTATGGAAACATTTCAGCCAGTATCTTTACATGAGATCCTTTTTCAAAGAACTGAACGCCGCTTACTTTGTCCTACTTTGTTCTTAGAAGTTTTGAAATTCTGTCAACGAATTTTTCGTTTTGTTTCTAGAACTGCTTGANCAAATGCTCAGAATCTACACAGACCTTCCTACCTGGAGACCTTCCTACCTAGAGACCTTCCTACCTAGAGACCTTCCTACCTAGAGACCTTCCTACCTAGAGACCTTCCTACCTAGAGACCTTCCTACCTAGAGACCTTCCTACCTAGAGACCTTCCTACCTAGAGACCTTCCTACCTAGAGACCTTCCTTCCTAGAGACCTTCCTACCTAGAGACCTCCCTACCTAGAGATCTTCCTACCTAGAGACCTTCCTACCTAGAGACCTTCCTACCTAGAGACCTTCCTACCTAGAGACCTTCTCATCAACCGTGAAAGTCATTCACCTAACTTGACACCCACTGACTTAACCATCCACCCCACCCCTTCACAGTAAGATACCTGGCCGTCTATCTGCTCAGGCACACATGTATCCAATCAGACACCTTCTGGTACACCCAGAAACCTGCACGTGCCCACCCAACTGGACAGTTATTCATTCATTCTTACACCCATTTACTCACCCCCTTACCTACGTCAGATACCCACCTATCCATACAAACACTTTCTCATCCACCCAGGCACGCAAACCCACGCATACATCTTCCTTAGCACTTGCTGACACGTTCGCCAAGACACCCGGCCTTCCATCTTCCCGGACACCCACTTACCAACTCAGACAAAACTTAGGAGATCTTCATTTTTTATCCTCTTCAGGGATATGATGAGAAAGATGGTCAAACAGATGAGGCCTGATCGAGAATAAACAGCTGTCAGTCGAGATAGCTCTTGCTGAAATCTTCCGCAGCGCTGTTAGTTCAAAGCATATACCTCGAATGCCTTATTTAAGACGTCAGAATACGGAGTGAGCGATGATAGCCCGAGTTGTTTTTGCGTGATTTATAATGCACAATAAAAATCAAGGGAGACAACTCGAACTATCACAGTAAATTCAAACAAATAAACTTATAGGAACATGCGATGCACACATTTATTATCATTAAACATAAATGTATTTCAATTTTTCTTTGCTTATCTATGCAAAGAGCACTGCTGGTATTAATAAACCAGTATTAATATCACATCATAATTTACAATTACTAAATAACTTAATTACTATGGTATTTAACGGGAAAAGTTAAACTGTTTAATTGTTTGTCACATGTACATGTATCGAGGTAACTAAAAATACTGCGAGGAAGTAATATGAGGAGAATTTTAGTTTTTACTATTGCAACTACTGTTATTATTATGTTAATATTATTATCATTATTACTGTTAGTATTATATTTGCAACGATTTGAGAAGTATTGGAAGTATTTTATAGTTTTATGTTCATAATACTTTTTTTTTATTTCGGTAACCTTATATTCATATTATCTTGCTATAGTTTATTAAACACAACTATTAAATCAAACATTCAGTAATTTTGTCTTTTAATTTTTTTTCTTTGTTGTTTTTTTTTTAACACTTAAGACCTCAATTCGAGAAGTCAATTGTTTTTATTTTTGTTATCAGAAAATGGCTACGTTTATGGGTCAATTTCAAAATTTTCAAGATAAAGGTAAATCAAATTAAATTAAATTGATATTTACAATGGATTGTGTTTGATTCGGGAAACCTGTCCTTTCCAAGGTTGGACGGAGGCGTCCGAAATTGGTCCAAAGCGCCCGGTGTCGCACTGAGCTGTCCTACATTGCACAGAACTGTGCAGAGTCGGACATAACCGTCAGAATTCAGATGAACTTGTCGGGCTTACTTGCAGTGGACGTTCCGTGGGTGGTGATACGATTTTTTGTCTATGTCGGAAATGACGTTCTATCTGAGGCTCAGAAAAATACAGTGCAACTCGCAAACTATCTGCGTGTATTATACGTTAAACCATCGAATAATATATATTAAATACGAATTGAACTTTCTATAAAACATCGGATTGGTCGAGAGTATTTAATCAATATACAATAGCGTGTTAAGTTGACATGATAATTTCAATATCTGCGGTGGATATTGATTTTATCATATCGCGTTCGGTCTGTCCAGTATCCAAGCCCTTTGTTCATGAGGCTCAGACACAAACTCAAAATGGCTGAATAGGCATTTAACAAATATACAAAAACAAAAATAAAAACAATCATTGAATTCGGTTTCTACATGATATCACGACTTATCATACATTAGACTTGCGATGAAACTCTGATTGGTCAAGAGCGTTCAGCCAATATACAGTAGCATGTGAAGTCGACGTGGTAACCCAACACCCGCAGCAGATATTGGGTCATCATGTCGAGTTGAAAGTCTGCCTAGTTTCCAAGTCCCCCGTCTGATAAATAATGACTGGTCCATGAGAATGTTCTCATTAAAGTGGTAAGAACTTAAATCAAAATAAAGATAGGGACGAATAAAAACAAAAAGAGAATGAAAAGTCCTAATGTAATGGAGAAGAGAGTAAAAGTTAAGGATATAATGTTCCGTGGGGGGTTTATTTTTGTACAGCGAATTCGGAATGTAACATGTGGTCTAATAAAAAAGGCGTATGAATATTTTCGGTTGATGAATGAATTTTTTGTAAGAGAGCTTTGTTTAATAGACAGATAGATAGGGTTTAATTCTTGACCACGAGAAAGACTCTTAAAGAGAGTATCTTTAATTGTTGACAGTGATTTAAAATTTTCAGTAAATGAAAGTTCGACAGAATGACACAGAGTATTGTAGTTAAAAAGTGACGCAACTTTTTCACTCAAGCCTCTTGCGCTCTGACTGCACAATATTTGCCTTTCGTTTGCGTCATTATCTCACGTTGGGTGTATGAGTGAAAATATATGTTCAAGGTAATAATTCCATAGGGACGGCGGAGCTGAGGACGCAGGGAGGGACTTTTTATCAGTATGTTTTAATATGTGGTACATCTAAAGCTGGATAAAAGAGAGAGGAAATGGAAACGATCGAAGCGATCTGTCAAATCGTCACAAGCCCGAACACGCAAGAGACTAGGGGGGTTGTAACTCTCATAGGGAGCATGCGGAAAAAGTGATAATTTTCGGAGGGATTCCCCCACCGACACTATTTGATCGACTCCACGATCGTTGTTTCATTATACATAGATGTCTTTTGACTAATTGCGACATGCAAAAACTTCAACTCGGTTTTCCCCTCTCCTTCATTCTCTTCCATGGTTTTTTTTTTTCTATTCGTTTTATACTGTTTAAAGGCTGGTAAACCTGTTGTAGAGACCCGGGCTTTAATTTCCCCTCCTCTTGTTTTCTCGCTTTCCTCTTCTACTTCTCTCCCAGAAATTCTCTGGTAAAATGAAAAGCTGACAATATTTAAGGAGAGCGTAGATGCAGCTAAAAATTGAACACCTATGTAATCTGTGGCTGCCGTTATTGTTCCTTCTCTCCCTATGTTTTCCTTTCACCTTTGCCACTTACCAAGACATTTCACTCTCATCCAGTATTCATAAGCAGAGTAAAACCCAATTCCTAAAGCATCTAAAATTGAACCATGGGTCAGTTTCCAAAAGATCTCAAGCAAAACAGTTGACATAAAGTAAGGAAACAGTAGAGTAAACACATCATAAAGAATACTTGCAAAAGAATTGGAATTCCGCTGAAAATATCTTTATTTACATCAATTAAACGTCCTGAGAAATACATTTATCGTTCAAATGAAGCTGTTACTAAGGTAAATAATCTTAGTGAACAATTGCTACAGACATGTTTTGGTAAAAAGAATTAAAAGTTGACACTGGCTAAAAATACATTGTTTTTTGGCTACTACTGTTGCCTTCTTCAGCAAAGATAAAAATATGCAGATTATTGCGGGTTTTGCCGCCTTTTTTGTCAGTGGGCCCTGGGACCCACTCGGTCAGTTTTATTTCCCAGGCCCATTCGGTTCACAGCTCGTGTGTTGCGTTTTTTAGTTTCGGTAGGTTTCACCTTAATTTATCACCTCAGTTTCTCAGTTCATCATTCATCGTAGCACCATCCATGTAAGTTTTCATCGTTCCGTTATTTTATTGTTTTTGCCTTGTATTTTCAGTTTTCTGTTTTCGTTTCATCGTTTTCTGTATTTTATTTACACGTAGTTTCACCATTCGACACTGAAGGAAAATAAACGACCGATTTGAATACTCTTCGCGTCTCGGTTGAACACTACGCTAAGAACGCGATACAGATGTCTAACGGCGTCCTACTTGGTATATGTACACGATGTGTGTTAAAACTAAAACTCGAGGGAATTTTAATTTTTTTTAGTGTAAAAATAGTCTCTAAAGTATTCTTAATGGCTCTAAAAATTCTTAATATTATTGTATATGTTTAGTAGCGCTTTGTGTTCGTTTATAGCGTTTCCATCTCGCAGAAAACGTCAAGCTTCAAGAGTTAGTCTTTGTCGTCACGCCGATGACCTGTCAACAATTTCAACATTCTCCAAATCTGTCTGGTTACTGTGAAGCATAGGGTGTTTGGCCAACAGAGAGTTTTCATCCAATGTTGCTATGGCCTTTGTGTGTTCTTTCATGCGTGTTTTTAGCGCGCATGATGTCTGCCTACCGTTTAAACACAATCACAATCTTTACATTTCATTTTGTGCACGACTCCCCTGTAAGTCTCTTTCTCGTTCTTGTCTTTTTGCTTTTTAAATATCCTCGAGATGGAGCGGATAGGCTTATGAACGACCTTGAAGAACTTCTGCGACTCTATCGGAGCTCCTTTGGCATAGGTAAGGATAACTAAGCCACGCT